TTGGAGATGTTGCTGCATTAGATCATGTGTAGCAAATCGTTTCCAACCCATCCTTTCCACAGTGGCGCTTGTATCCCTGTCATCGATGATGGATGGTTCTGGAGGGGAGTATGCTGGCAGAAGCGAGTTTAAACATGAGATCTGATGCGAAGGGGCAGAAGTGGGGGATTCTGAGACAATGACCCAAGGAGAGCATGGAATGGGCGCTGATCCGCTGATGATTAATGGGCTATATCGTATCTTTTTATCCGGTGGGTACCATCTCTGGAGCTTTACTGGCCGCGAGTGCATTTTCTTCCAATGTTCAGGCAACTTGTGTGTCTGGTAATGTTCACGCACACCCTTGTGAGGATCTTTGCCTGAAGATCCGGTTTGCGGGAAACCATGTTGGCAATGAGGGCACATGAATCCAGGAACTGGTTCTCCAAGGAATGGCAAGAGTGGATGGGGACCAGGTGGGAGGGAAGTGTTCAAGTTTGGGGTAGGGATACAGAAACGGGAGACGATCTCTAGCACCTCGTCGATGGGACAGTCATGGCGACACTGATGGAGGTGGTTGGACAACGGGTGTTCTTGAGGTGTATGAGTGACATCTAGGGCATGGTGAGCGATATCACACAACAGAAGGCGGAATCGGGGATGGTAGGTAAGGCCATTTCCCAGGGGGAGTTGAGTATCTGGACCAGGAAGGAGAAAGGACTGCGCGTGAGATGTGTGGACATGCAGTCCAAAGTGCCACAGGGATAATGGTGGCTGGGTAGGGCATAATGGACAATAGTAGGATGCATTTGCGAGAGGAATGTCTTCGCTACCTGTGAAAAGGCATTAGTCACACAGAAGGAGGCTGCAATTTACTAACCTAGAGAAACGACAAGGTGGTGTCGCTGGGCATGGGTGGCTTCCTCTTCAGGACTGGGGAATATGATACGGCATATAGTGCACCCAAATGAGCTCTCTGGATGGCTTCGCCAATAGTGGTTATAGGGTGCGTCTGGATTGGCCAGCGGTTCATCGCAAATTAGACATCTAGGAAGCAAATCAAGGAATTGCACCAAGGGCCATAAAATAAATATTACAGCTCTTCGTCTTCATTCTCTTGCTCTTCAATCTCTTCAAAGGATGAATCAGAGTCATATGCATCCATCAAGGTCGGGGTTGAATTAAAAGTTACGCGAGTAACGAACAAACAAACAAATACAGAATAAAGATCACATGGGTCAAGGCGAGTTACTCGCCTTAACCCATGTGACTGCTGCTCCGACAACCCACACACACGGTGAATCTCAACATGACATTGGTGTAGAATTCCTGCTCTTATGCTACATTCTGTGTGTGTTATTCCGGCTGGCTAGATGTGTGTGTTGCCCACTGCTCTAATATCCTTCATGTGATTCTTTGCATCCAGTGTGTTCCGCTCGCTCCCCAGCCCCACGTCCTCACTCTACACTGGATGGGCGCTGTTGCAGCCCACCGGTGGTCGCTGTGGGGGCTGTCTCGCTTCACACTAAATGTTACTTAAAGTTGTTTTTTTTCAATAGACCGAACACCATACCACAGCCCCTAACCCAACGCAACCCCCTACCCAAACCCCCAACCCCCTACCCAATTGCCCAACCCCCTACCCAAACCCCCAACCCCCAACCCAATTGCCCAACCCCCGACCCAATTGCCCAACCCCTCATGCAATCTGCGTTATGGCAGACGATGCAAGCGGCATAAGGACTCGGCCTGCAGTGTGGATAATCACACTATGGTAACCGACATCTCAGTGGGGCAGTTTAACATTATTTGATCGAGGAATCATATAATATTAACATATACTAATAGCTGGGAGCGAGTTCTGATCGAAGCGTTCCCATTGGTCCGCTCCTGATTCTCGCTCTCTCATTGGCTCCGCACACTTTCTCCCACGTTTTTGCGCCTCCTCATTCGCTGGCTTTACCACGGACTTGCACGGTTTTTTGTCGCAATGACGTCGCTCCAGAACCAAACCTCTGACTCACGCAAGCGCCAGTCATTCCAAATCGCACACGGACATGTGTCTACATTGCGTAGTCTGTGGGATCCCACACTTCGTCGCCACTCTTCCACAAGGATTGCCATCCGACACGCACTCCACACCCTTGATTCGTTCAATCTCCACACACGGCTCAGCGCCTCTGCGCTCATTACACCTCGCTGCCCATGTGTCTCATCCTAGGTTATGATGCTACGTAAGTGGCCTCATTCACTCTTCGCGCGATCCGACACAAAAGCACCTCATCTTCCATCCCCAACTCCCCTCGCTCTGGCCTGATGGCGCTGAACATCACACTCCGCTCCCACTTCACAGCGTATGCCTTTCTAAACAGCGATCCAGAATTCAGTAATAGTCGCCTGCACAGTGACTTCCTCATTGGTGCGCTCAGTTTTCGTTCCCGCGTCTCCACTGATACCATGCCGCTCAATTGACGGGCCAGGTTCCGACGTCGCGGATGCCATGAACATCAAATTCAACTTCTTTGTTCCTAAATCGACTACCATTCTGCCTCCTTCGCTCGGTGATCTGCTATTTGTTCGCGGCTCTTTCATCCCTCGCATTGTCAATGGGGAGTTTATCGCCACCTCCTCCCTCTCCTCCTTGACTGTGTTGCTCAGCAACAATCCGGGGAAGGACATGCGTCCCGTTACTGACACCAACGCTTTTTTCGACTTCACGGGCTTGTGTACTGCCACTGGCGATCGTTGGTTCACATTGGCCACTGGCGCATACCAGGCTGTGGTATGTGTCTTCCACTCACCACACCACCCAATCCGCTCATGATGTACATACAGTCCAAATCCGTCCTTAACTTTTCTGTCACCATTCTCATTCCGTCTACCACGCGATGGAAAAACTTCTACTATCCACCCACTGCGACTCCTGTCCACTGCTCGATTTCATGACATCCACGACAACGTTGCCCGCTTCAAGTTGGAAGACATCGGGTACTTACGCTCCTCCGCTTCCACTTCTTCTGCCACTGCCCCGCACAAAAAAAGGAGCCTGTTTAATCGAGAACCCGCGACTTCCGCTGATGACGTCACTACCACATCCGTGCTTAGTCCCAAGGATTGGGAAGACGATCATGACAATGACGATGCGGAGAGCAGCAACAAACGCATTAAGTGCTAAATGCAGAATGAGGGTCATGAACGTCCCTTCCAATTTTCCGTGTTTGTCTCTATGCTATTGTACTCTTGATTTGTGTATATAATGTCGCTCCACCCGAATGAAACTCTTTGTTAGTGCACCCTGCCTGTTCTTCAGAAAACATCATGAACTCGCTTGAACCATCCACTTCCGTACGTCGTAGAAGATCCAACACTGGATCCTTCGCATACCTACACTCCTGGAACCCCCCTGCTCTCTCCACACCATGGAACACGACTCCGTGTAATCATTGTGATGCCCTACTTTTGAAAGACGAAAAACCTTCTTGGTGCTGCCATAATGGTTCAAAAGCGTTGGGTTGGGTTGCAACGTCTTTCGAGATGACTAATCACACTATGGTAACCGACATCTCAGTGGGGCAGTTTAACATTACTTGATCGAGGAATCATATAATATCTACATATACTAAAAGCTGGGGAGAGTTGCGATTGAAGCACTCTGATTGGTTGCCTCACCTTACCCACTCATGAGCTACAGGTTTACAGTGTTGAACGGTGTTGGGTTGCAACATGGAAATGTACTAAAATTTCTTGTGAATTTTTTTGAATAACTGGGGAACACCGCCTGAAGCGGCAGATCCCGCTACTCTTACCCCGCATGCATGTTCACTCTCAATGTTGCTATTGGCTGAGACGAAGCCTGAGATTTGCTCTCGCTCTGTAAACCCACCACATACTCTTATTTCAGAACCACGTAATTTACACTGCAGCCACACAGCGAGAGGAATAGAACTGTATGGGGCAGAGAATGGACCCTGGGTTTGGGGGTCATAGAGGACCGTGTGCATAGGATAATTGAGTTGGGGCATAGGACCCGCTATGGAGTAGTGGGAATTTCTCGATAATCTACTAATCAATTCAGTTTCAAATTTGATATCATTGATTATGTAAAGTCTCTGAACACCATGGGAAACAGTAGCAAGACCCCTTTGGGCGACATAGGGGTCCACATATTCCACAAGTTTCATTGTTTCAGGAATAGTTGAGGCATTGGACCGACGCTTGTCTTGAATTTCTCGCGAAATTTTTTGCATTTCTCGATAATCTACTAGTCAATTCAGTCTCAAATTTTATATTTCAGAAGGTATTGAGAGGTACAAATTGATTATATAAAAGTATGCGAAGAACGTGGGAAACAGTGAGGAAGAAGTGATGAGTGACAAGGATGCTAAGGTAGACGATGAGGATAGAGGGAGTTGCCGGGTCATTCAAAAATTGAATGCCTCGAAGCCCCGTGAGAATTCCCTCGAAGGGGTCGTGAGAATGAAAAATCAATTCAATTTTTCGTGGGAATTTCCCTCGAAGCCCCTTCGAGGGCGAATCCACGGGATTGACCAGTCTGTAAATCGGATGATACTATCCATTTTACACTGAAACAAAAAAGATAGGCTGTCCTAAGGATAGTTAATCTTGAGTTTTAACAAGATTGGGTCCATTATTTCGTAAATAATGGAAAAACTACTTGCCTTTTATGGAAATAAATACTTCCATTAAATTCTATAGCATTGTAGCTTTCTGTTGCATATTTTATCATAATTTTAGGATAACTATAACTATGGTAAAATCGGTTTTCTACCCAAGATCCTCCAAGATTAATAGAAAACCAGTTGTGGGATGCTTTTCAGGTGCACAGACCTGTACTGTGCAAGTATAAATACTAGGCAAAAAGGGCTGATGAGTCCCCCCAGACGAAAGTCCCCTGTGTTCCAGTAGGAGCAAGGGTCTCCTCTTTCTGCCTGCAATTTCAGCCCAGGACAATTACTGTCTTATTACAACCCAACCCAACCCCGTACATATTATTTATAAACATGATGGGTCTTTTACAGAAGGGCGCATCTGAACGTGTGATCCACACTTGTAAAGTAAATGAATGGCCGTATAATGCAATTTTTCGTCATTTTTCCCTGTTCTAGTGGTGCTGCGACATGTCATACTCCCCTAATAATGCCAACTCTTCCGAGTCAATTTCCCCCCAATCCCCTTCTTCCTCTTCACTGGCCGGCTCCATGGCTGTAGACGAGGACTGGGCCGCCTTTTGGGTCTTTTTCTTCTTCGTCTTCGTCACTGCCGGCGATGAGGCCTTCCTTTTCCTCGAGCTTTTCCTCGAGCCCTGTGCACCTCGCCGTCAGCATCTTGCAATGATCGACGCGTTGTTTACTTATCAGCCTGTCCTTCTGCCTCCCCCTCACCTTAAAACACGGTTATCAGCTGTCGTACGAGCATGTAACCTGACGTTACCTCCGGTCTTGCCTCCTGGCGCCGCCATCCTGCCTTTGCTGAACACGCGCCCCCCAACCTTTGCCACCCTCTTCTCTGCTTGGATTATTCCCGCCTCTAGCTCTGCAGAGATTGATGGTTGTGAGCTGGAAGGTGGTGGCACGTCTGGAGACATGGTGGAAATAAGATGTGGGAGGTGACGCGGGAGGTGACGCGTGACGTCACTTTCCCCTCCCCATCTTCTACGATGCCTAGCATGGCCTACGAGCTCTATAATGACGTTGCCATGCACGTTATGGACAGAATGAATCATATCCAAGAAATCCTGCAAGACGAAAACGCGGATCATGTCAACAATCTCGTCGAGGTACTCATGCGCCTCCGAGACAAACTCAACGTGAGGCCCACATATTCAGAGGGGGACGTTCATAACATTTCATAGACAATGGACCACATTCTCGGTCCTCGGAACCAAGATGAGGGTGGCGATGGGAATGCCAACGGCAATGGGGGCAGCGGTGGAACCACCAATAGAGGCCCTAACCCAATTGCGAGTCGTACAAACACGCAAGCGCCAGTAAGTCATCTTTCACTCACATATCTCCCCAATCAACCCCTCCCAAGTGGGCGTACGACATGCAAGAGATGCAAAACCTTGCCACCGAAGGCCCAATGCCCTTCGAGACCCTCCGCGATCAAAGTTGGTTCATGCCCGACACGCTGCTTAACTCTCGCACCAAGACTGGATCGAAGCGAATCACTCTATGCGAGATCAACACCCTTCGTATGCGTATTGGACTAATGGGAATCCCTGCCATACGGCTGCGTGATTGGGTGAGTTTCATCCAGCTCCGTACGTCCTTGATCTGAACTCTGTTGCAAGCATGCTTTGTTTCCTGCAGGCTTAGAGGAGCCCCCCGACATGACCTCAATCATTTCCAACAGTGATCCCTTGTCCCAATTCGACAAGATCGTCGATGTACGTCCATCTTTCTTTCTGCAGATCCTTCTTCATCTCTCCGCCAGCTCCGGAGTAGGTATACCCACAGTGGGTCGTTGAAACGGTTTGCATTGGATACCCTAGAGGCTCTGCTCGTGCTTGTGGAAACAGCAAGCTATATCACTCGCGAAGATGTCCAGACACCCATCTCTCCCACTTTTGAGCACATCTTGCGCTCTCGTTACTCGGCAGACAACACGAAACATCCATACGACGGTTGCTCTCTTAGCAAGGAAATAACGGCTACTACACACTGGCTGAACTCGTATTTCTACGTGAGTAAACTTTGACATTTGGACCAGAAACAAATCCTGATCGATCAGTGGGGCCCGGTCGTCATCCTTGCACCACCGTTTTTCATTGACTTTTATCGGAGCACGGTTTTTTCGAAACGATTTGGACACCCTGAGATCGACATTTGGATCGGTTTGTGTGATCACCAAGGGTGTACCCCCGTCGACGATCGCAAGATCGATGCCATCCATGCACTTGACAAGTTGATGCGTGTAGCCTTTGACCACGAGGTCGCAGGATATGCTCGTGGGTTGGCAGTCCAATTACATTCTTACGATGTCGCTACCCGTCGCAAACGTCGTCATGGGCATGACAGGAATCATGTTCCGACTGTCACCGTGATCTGATGTATGTTATCTTCGACAATGAGACAATGGCTATAGAGGTTGCAACGAGGGAGCTAAAAGAAAGAGACCATGAAACACATCAGGTTGTCAACCATGATCAAGGGTAGAGTGACGTTTGCGGTGAAATGAAAGAATCCCCCCAACCCATTCGTTATCTCCACAACCACTGGACCGCTTTAGTTCAAATTTTGTACATATAGACAACGTATTTAACATTATTTTATCAGTGAATTAAAATTCCAATCCCCCTTGGCATATCAGTCCCATCAACCTCGTTCACCCTCTGAGCGCACATCGAAACATTCGCAAAAGTCAGCAGTGGAAAAAATCATATAAAATATTTAAATGACAGGATGGCATCCTAACAAGTATGTGGGATTTTTTAATATTTTTTTAAACCCCCAGGCTCCAACTTGCACCAAAAATGGCTGTCGTGTATCTCGTCCACGAGTTCCCGAGTACGAATGAAAAAACTTTCTTCCTCCCCTTATCTCCTCAACGAGACGACCGTCTAGAACAAAAATTTGGGGGTCTGGACAACTAAATCAAGTCTATGTTTTAAGCCCAAGAACGCACGGTGGAAGTGCGAAATGGCGGAGAACGAAGGGGTTGCAGGTAGCGCCGTGGGATACGTTGGGTCAGATGGAATGCTTTGAATTCAATGCACTAGAGACTCATGTAGAATAGGGTAGACAGCGTCAGGGTGCAGAGGGAGCAGTAGGATGACATCTCAATGTGACGGGTTGTGCAACTTGGATAGCGGCTATGAGACTAAGGATCGCTTGCATGTAGAAAGGAGGTCGCAGAACCGTCAGATGCGTGCGGCTGGGTACACTGAAAGGGTAGACGGCGTTGATCATTCCGAAAAATGAACTCAAGTGAAAGTCCTGGATCCAGCGCGAAAAAACTGTCAACGTGCAGACGGACCTCAACTCATCATGCTCATCAACGCGATTGTTATTTAAGGAATTGTATTTGACAATAAGCGGAAGAGGAAACGGCCTTCATGTAGCCATCGTACACGGGTGCTGCCGACGAAAAGCCTTGTGGGTCTTCCCATAAACTGGGTAAAGATCCCTGGGCCTCTCAACAGACTCGTGGAAAAAGACGCGCCGATCTGAAAAAAGGGCAATCACCATTCGCCCACTTCCTGACCAAGACGCAGCATCGTGGCGGAGGCCTGCACCACGGATGAAGAATAGATCCGAAGGGCGAGACGGGAAGCCACATTTGAGATCCTCAAACTGGAGTTCTCCCCCATCGTACTCTCCAAAAACGGCAATAGCATCGAAGCCGGACCAACAAGATCGCTTATCCGCATGGAATTTGGTGCCGGCGTTGAATCGGACAAATTGGCTGAAGAAATGGCACTTGATGTGTGCCAAGTAACCTTCCGGGTCTCGATCGCGGCGGATAGAATCCCACATGCGGCGACTTTGTCGTGACAGGTTTGGGGCAAGCCTCTCCAAATATTGATTGAGGATGTGATGAAAGGCCTCGCTCTGCTTGTGGAAAGCGTGGCTTTGCTCCACGCATTGCCGCACATCCTTGGTGATGCCGGGGGGAATATCCTGCAAATTTGTTAACCTCTGTCATGACACGATAGAAAGTTCACTCACTGTTCGCCCAATCTGATACCGATAGCCGTACTGGATTTGGCCGTTCTTGAAGAGATCGGACGAAGCGGTGTTGAAAGTAGCGCGATACTGGTCGCGGGTGAACTTGTACGTGTGGCTCAACTTGTGGCCAGCATTAACCATGTTTTCCTTGGATAACGTGTCAATAATGAACAGCAATGAACGGTTAAATACAGACATGAATACCCATAAGGACGTTTGGGAGACGGATCGCAAGAAGGACCCCTGACCGGTCCTCGATTGCCGCACCATCGGGATGACGAAGAACGGCCATTTGTTCCGGTGTCATAGTGGGGAGCGCCAGCTCGATGGGTCTGGCTTGGCTTTTCGAGGGCGGAGTAGCCTCGTCGTTGTGCATGGCTACAGTTGCGTAATCGATATCCAACTGCACTGTGTTGCAAGTTGGTCAGGCGAAAGTGGACGGGAAAATATCCTAAAACTTACCAGTGTTTTTCAGCGCTTTAAAGATGGTGGAGTCCACCAGCTCTTCCGCTGCTTCAACCTCTCTGCGTACTTGTGGGTCATCAATACCCTCCATACGCTGGCGGTGAGCCTCTACTGCCTCTTCTCTAGTTGAACGTTGATGCTTAAATGGAACGCCAAGGAACGGTAAACCTACCGAGGCATGGCTCTGAACTGCTTTGGACCAATACCGGCTTGTCGATATTGGTCCCTCTTGGCCCGGGAGCGGATCTTAGGAGCCTTCATAGTGAGGCAAAGAGACAAATGTGTTACACCAACTCCGCAGTACTTTTTTTTTCACCAAGCGCGATATTACATTACATCATGTGACTTCAAAGTACGGTTACGTGTCCCTGCTTCTATATAATATCACATACAGTTGTTTCCATCAATACATATTCCGCATCACAACCACCAACGTGTTAGACACATCCTTCTCGCTTCCCTTGCCCCCCTACTCAAACCCATCAGGTAGTCGCGTGTCGTGTCCAGTGTGGAATAAAATAAAAAATAAAAATAATAAATTGGTGTAAGATAATGGTCAGGGCCTTGGCCTTCAGCCAAAGCGCATTCATTGGCAAGACAGCTTCGTCAGGTTGACGTTCAGCAGTCCAGGTGCACCCCAATGAAGTATCATGAGAAGAATGAAAAAGGAAAAAAGAATAAAAAGGAGCCCGGAGCCCTATGGAACATCAATGTCAGCAACAAGATGATGAGTGATCGGTACATTACCATGCATACGTCATACCCATGCACCCCTGCAGCGGGGTGACAACGACCTCAGTATGCATCAGCCGGTGGCCTCCATTTCAGAGACCCATGGTCCCATTGGGGGGCGTGGAGGCAACAAGAGTCAGCGCTTCATCCAGATGAGATAACAAAGAAAGAAAAAAATCCTTTGGTAATAAGAGAAAAAAGAGATGCGATGTACAACCACCTGAAACCCAATTGACGGGATACCCAATGTTTGATGAACTGCACGAGGGTTGATCGGATGATGAACTTGCAGACGGAAATCTGAATGGGTGGTAAAGGTGCGGACGGAAGAAATCTTAGACGCTTTCCCATTAGCCCCCAGAGAGGATCCAGCCATCGATGACCAGCGCATCGAGGGCCTCAGGTAGCCAATGATCAAATGGCTATAGCTTTAACTGAACAGGCAGGCGAGCCAAGCCCACCCGTTCGTTGCAGCTGCTTAGCGCTAAGGGGGAAAAGGGAGGAATGAAGGGATAGACAGACGGATGGACGGACGGATGGACGGACAAACGAACAACGGACAAACAAATGAACAACGGACAAACAAACGGGCAAACAAACAAACGGACAACAGACGAAGCTAAGAGGGAAGAAAGGAGGAACTGACTAATCCAAATAAATATGAAAAAATTTTCCATCACACGGCAAGTCCCAGCCCCTCATTCGGCGCCTACGAGAATGCACCACTGGGTATTACCACGATATCGAGGCAACGAGCAGCATTGGGAGATTTATGCAAAAAGAGCGGTCCCAACTCCCTCCGGCCTGATAGTGGTCGTTCGGTGAGATTGAGCGCTTCCTCAAAATTGTCATCGAATTTGACAAGTGCTTCAGCGCCGACGTGTTCCAATGCTTTCTTTATTTCTTCTTTGATTGCTTTCTTAAGATCCTCGACATCCCTGTTCAACGCGATGTCGACACCGATAGTACGATCGTAACCATCGCCGAAAACCCAGAAGACGAGCCTGGTCGTTGTTGAAAGAGATTGCGTGTCATGTTTGGTTCGATGTGCAGGCGATTCTCTTCGACGCGGGGCTTGCGAGAGTGGTAGGAAGGCTTTCAATGGTGTGAGTTTTTGAGACTTTCTTCGAGGTCATAATCGTCGGGTAGGGATGCCTAGCTTTGAGGAAGCTTCGAGGCATCGACATGATCAGGGCAATGGCACTGTTCCTCCTCGATCGAGCATTGACAAACGATGCAGGAATCTCGTACAATCCTGAGCATCACCAACGACGCTCTCATTCTTGAATCCCATAATTAACGCCATCCGCTCCAGAGCGGCACCGTCAACTTCGGAAACCCACAACCAACCAACCACGGCCAACCAGCCGGGGTTCACGAGTGCGTGTGATCGATTTGCCCAGTATGCGAGTTTCTGAAGTCTCCCTTACCACAGCTGAAAACCAAAGTGGCAACCAATCATCCCCGCTACCCATAGTCTACTACCCTTATCCATACATGTCATTCTGGTTCACCATCAGATAAACCGAAGCGCACGCAGATCAAAAATGCATGTACTAATTGCCAAAAGGCGTGCAAGGGCCATGTGGTCGCTGCGTATGTTACGGTTTATCCGACTGCACAGATTCTGAGCGAAAAAAGAGGATAACGAGCGCAAAGTGAGGGCCTTATCGCAAGCGCGAACGTGCAGTGGCTCCGCCAGAACATGCAAGCGGGGATACGGGATTTTCGGATTCTGCCACTGCGACGGCTGGTACAGGCTTACCCACCTCTATCGATACATCTCAACAGACCCATGCTACTGTCATTCCATTCCCCATGTTTTTTTTCCCCTACCAACGGTTCCCAGGGCGTTCAAGCCAGACTTTTCGCTGTATATACCAAAGGCATCCCTCTTGGTCCAGATGGGCAACCGATACAACTTATCCGGTCCCAATTGGTTATATTCCAGCCACGATCCTTGTCCCCCCCTAATACCGCCACGCAAAGTGAACAGGAGACTCCTGGCGGTTCTCAAGCAACTTCACCCCAGGCTAACGGAAATGGGAATATTCGAATGAACAGGAAACCTGCTCAGATACTAACGAAGGTACCCATGGGACTCTTTGTCGAGTCAATCTTTTCCCATTGCTTCCTTCAGCAGCTTATCGCCCCTAGCCAGTACACCGTCTTTTCACCCTACGCAACACGCAACCCACCCCAACCGATTCGCCCTCAACGCGAAAACGTAAGACTACTGGAGAAGTTTCTGCCGTCATTTACCACGATTCTCTGCGGGAAGACCACTCTCATACCAGAAAAAAGGGGACGAGAGCGGATCTGGGGAGGTTCCAACTATCTGGCAATCTGAGAGTGCCACTGTCGTGATCCGCAGCGTTACCACCTTCCGAAATACCGTGATTTGCGTTGATCATTTCGAGATCTGGAAAGGGACAATGACCAGCTGTCGCATCATGATTCATCTTATACTGATACTTAGCACTATACTTATTGTGTTTGGTCTGCATAATTACTAAGAGCATTGTCCGCGCCCTCACTGATGGCTATGAAGAACTAGTGGAACAATAAGTATGATACATAACATATGCGCCTTAATCAGGTCGCTATTTTGCAAGGGACCGAACATGTTGACTGAAACCCGCACATTCACCTTCGTGGACACAAACGCAGGAGACCGCGGTTTGTGTTGCAGACACCAACAAACCAAAGGTTTCCATCTATGCTCATGAGATTCACTTCCTCTTGACTGAATTCTTGTTTGTTTTTATATATACACTGACCAGATTGAACCCACTTAAATCCAGCCCCTACGTAATGAAGAAATGGGCAAGCTGGTACAACGAGTCCTAACCATCGGCCCTCCAGGAGCAAGCCACATCAGCAATAAGTGTATGCCTGAGGGTATCGATGAGCATCAATACAGCGAGTCAGAGGCATATGGGAAGAAATGTACCCATCATTCCGGTCCCGACCCTCAAAACAGTTGACGGAGAAGGCTGGTATCACGGCGCTGAACAAGGCCGATTCCTTGATCAAGGAATGAGGACTTTTGAAGAACCCAGTGACGTGGGATGACGGGGCAGCCATTGGATACGGGACTTGCAAGAAGCGTCGGGTCAGATGCATCCGAAATCGATGCACCGAGTGGGTGGTAGACAGCATCAGGGTAGGCAGTTGCGGTGACACGGTAAGGTGGTGGGAGGGCACGACATCTCCAAGAGAACCGTCACAGCCAGGGGATGTGGCCGGTTGGATGTAGCGAGCGATGAGAACGAGATATTAGGAAAAACGGGCATACGATCCTAAGAACATTTTAGCAAACCCAATTGTACTGTCATGGAACAATGCACCAATTTCAGATCAAACCCAACCCGTTAGATCGCAGGCCACCCCGGGCGATCTTTGCACTTGGCCCAGAGAAAGGTGCTGAACGGAAGAAATCGAACCATGGCCAACCCATGCGGCCATTTGGGTAGCGGTAGCGCACATCCCAGAAAAATTCGGGGAAAAAGTGGGGTGCCAAACATCGAAGGAACCCATGTGGGATTGACGAGAAGGGCACTTGGGCGCTTTATGACCAGGAGAGGGGCGGTGCGCAATGTCGAGTTTGCTAAAACTGACGATAGCGGAAGTGCGCAGGTAGATAGGGATGACATGGTAAAGGGAATGATGGCAGATGGCATTATTCGCATATCGACTGACAGATCTGTTCAAGGGTGTCACGCAGAACAAGTGTTACAGGTGTGAGGTTGCCATGAAATTGGGCGAGGGAGGAGTGGGTGAGTTTTGCAAGAACGGTATCGACAGCATTATTCTGATCGCTCTGGAGGGCGGCAAAGCTGAGCTACAACCCAGAGACATCGGCGTTAATAAAATGGCAGAATGAGAAACCATACATACTGCGATTCCCAATTGATGGCCATACGTCTCACCAAGGATGGCACTCGCCAAGGAACCACCAAGCCGCAAGTTGAACAGACTGCAGCAGAATTAGTCAGCTTGACCAAGAAATCCTCAAAGTCTGTGGGGATGACAACGCGTTTGGGCTTGGGATGTCAAATGCTACAATAATTGATGGAATGGTGGTCAGGAAGGTGAGATGAAGGAGGACAAGGAGGATTCAAAGGGAACCTACGAGCATGATGATGACTAATTACCCGATCGAGGAACGAGAGCAGGTACTTGTCATCTTTTCGCGAGAAACGTTACTCCATACAAAAACTTGACAATACGGCTGCCGGATTAACAGCTGTTTGTTATCGTACCAATGAGGCATGCAGTGGATGACAGAAAAACGCCATGGCCAGCAAGTTATATTAATCTCGTTCCTCATGGCAAGAGTCAAGGAAAGACTCGAGCTGCTGTGGAGCACCCATCGAGAGACGAGAGGTCAAAACCGTTTCCAAAATGGATCAGTAGTGGTCTTCACTGCACGAGTTGGGACTGGAAACAAACCATACGCACCCTCTTGCTACTCCAACAGATTGAGGTGCCCAAGGGTCGCACGTTGTCCAGAAGGAAACGAATGCTGAGGAGATGGAGGAAGGAACGGGGAATCGGATGATCCAGGGAAGAGTCAAAGACGAGGTAGGTGGAGTTAGTGCCGGAAATACAGCGACGACGAGCACGCCTGTGCGACATTGTCAGTGATCAGCCTGACGATGCCCAGGATGATTTCTATGCCGGCTAGTACCACGCACATGAAGATCGATCCGACGCAGACTCCTGGCTCCCTTTCGCCGAGTGGTATTTCGATTGAGGAACAGAGCCATGTTTTTTTTTTTTGCAGGAAGCTTTCGGCTGGTCCCGGATGCTACAAACTTCACCGGCTAACACCCTCCATACATGATAGGCAACCTTTTTCCCCATATCTAAAGTGGTGAGCCTCCTTGAGCCTTCCCGAGTCCTCACAACGATTCCCACTTCCTTTGCGTCGCATTTGACATGTTATAATAATTCTAGGTGAACACGGTGTATGCCTTCTGTGCCTTTGGAGCCCAGTGGGTAAAGTTCTTTCTCTGAACTGTATGTCGCTCATTGGGCAAGCCCATGCATATTAACATAAGCCACACGGTCATGATCCTTATCATCCAGAGCTGAGGACCTCGCTTGCGGACATGGGTCGGACAACTAGGCTTGGGTACTGATGTAAAACATATTTAATTTTGCGGCTACGCATATTTATATGACATGAAAAATACACGATTTTATCTCGTGGCAAGAAATGATGAGCGTACGGGAGAGAGATGACTACCGTGAAAGAACATGGCGATATGATGCGGACAAGATGATTAGTGTTCACGAAGGATGTGGAAGGGGCGCACGATGCATCGGTCTTCTCGGTTGGTGCCTTTAGGCCCTTGGATTTTTGCCGAGATATCCATTACCTGGAGGGTAGTCGTCACCTTGCATGAACCACACATGCAACTCGTGACGTCGACAACCTTTTCCATCCAACTAGAGAGGGCCTCCTCTGCTGTGTCACCCTCTCCAGTTGAAATGTCCGCAAACTAAGGGAGTCAATAAATAATCAGAACCCATGAGCTACGAATCCTTACCGCTCCACACATATGGATCTCCGTGGTTTCGTCCCCATGCAGCTGGAAGATCCCAGACCACACTAGCGCGGGCTTGCTACCAGGGTGCCGAATGCAATGGGTTCCAGGGTGGGTGCTATACGGGTGATAAGCACATGAAAATAGAATTAAAGTTGGACGTACAAGACCTGACATTCGAGACAGTACCACATCTGTGGTGGATCGGTATTGAGCACAGACAGTTCCCCTTTAACCTCTCTCCAACCCGACGAGTCCCCTTCCCAAGTCAACGAGTAACATCGTTGAGCAGCTGAGAGAAAGACGGTAAATAGCACCAAGGACCAGAAATGAACTCAAACTTACTGCATGCCCGAGGCGTCTCCATCATGACGGGCAAATAACGCGCATACCCTGACACCTCAGATGTAAACTTGGTATATGGATTAGCGTCCAATTGGCCGTCCCGATTCCTCATCGCCTTGAATGCCCTGGGATTCATAAACCCGAAATTCATCCAGCGTTGCAACCGGATCGACCAGTATCGGTATGTGCTCCGATCGGCATAGGAAATCAAACGGTCGCGGTTCTTGTGCAGCTAAGGGAAGAAATAAATACATACACTCAGCAAAAACATTTAACGTCACCTTGCAGGAACCGACACACAATACGTCCCCAATTTCAGCATCTTTCGGAAGGAGGCTGCCATCCATCTTAGCCACTTCAACCAACGCACCCCCAGTGGTATCTGCAAGCAAAAACTCCATGAAAACTGGAAAAGTCAGCAGCGTATTAAACCAAACAACAAGAACTCACATCCACCCCCTCCCCTGTAGGGCATGACACCTGATTTATGTTGAACTATCCCGACGATGGTGAACCTTGATCCGCTGTCATGCATTGCCGAGGTGAGAGTGGTAACACTCTACGGAAATCAATGA